AACATTACAGCGTTGGGCGTGACCAACAGAGTTCCACTTACAACACCCTGAAAAAGAAGAGTCCATTTTCTAAAAGTCGTTTTACGTTCGCTTTTCTGTGGGCTAATGTAGACGGGCAACGTCATGCAGGGTGCAATAAGGGAAATTTTGCCCGGACAGTGGCATTAGCCTGCTCTTTTTCGATTTCCAACAGTCTAGTGATCTTCAACGTGCACAGCACGCGGGGCCTCAGTTTTCATGGAAAAAAAGGGATAACAACTAAGATTCACGAGGATCCTGTCTACCAGCTGGTCATTGGCCAAACCTAGATCCATTTGAGTGGATTAATGAAGAAAGATGACTTATTTAAGGACACCAGACTTTCATATGTCGACAGAAATTAGAACCCACGACCACCATTTGTTCAATATTAGTTGTATTATCGTCTTTTATAGCTAAATTTCCAAGAGCGCGGAAATTACCGAACATTCTCTTCCCAAAAAAAAGAAAACCACAATGGGCTCATCAAAAAATTCACATTTTTTACTGTCGTCTGCAAAGTAACAAAGGGAAAGAACTCTCAACTGACCTGTCCATCAGTAATTTGCTTCACATTAATTTTGATAAATCTTTCGTAGCACTCTCTGTCAATCTGTTCTGCTTCATCTTCTGTTAGTTTCTGTGGGGGTACCAGCTCTGCAGGAGGAGGTGGCTCTGTCTTCTGTCGCTCTACGTGACCTGGAATTTTGGCAGGCGGCTTGTCGGCCATTTTAACTAAGGGAACATCCTGAAAGATATAAAAATTCAGAAATTGGAAATTTAGCCGCACTGATGATGGCTATATATTAAAATCATCAAAGCATGTGACATCATGAGTACTTATATGAGGTTTGGCTACTAAAATAAAACATGGTAGAAATACAACAAGGATGGTGTCCTTAAAGGGATTGTAAAGTTTTTATGTGTATCAGGGACACTGATAGCATCAATTTGCATCATTCAAATTTTAATTGAGAAACCCTGTAAATACTAAATCAAAAACATGACAAAATTCTTAATTTCATGGGTTATTTTTGTGTTATAGAAGTATATTCTTGTTTTGATCAGTTATTATAGTTTATTGTGGGTATGTTATGTGTTGAAGAGAAACTATGTAGAAGAGATTACTACTTGTTAACAGGTACAGTGGAGAAAATGTAACTTTGACATATAATCAATTATGAAATTTGATAATTGATAATCGAAATTATAAATCCCTAGCGACGATCATCGATTATTTCAATCATTTTACCCAGCCCTAGCTGCTCGTTAACTAAGAAAGTAATTTTTTTACCCAACAGGTATATTTAATGGACACATAGAGATCAGAGTAGAATATGGGTGTATAGTCAGACGATCTTCTCCTGCGAGACATTGGCACCGTTCCTTACAATTCCAACAATCTCTGCAAGTCTTTTAGAACTTCAATGTTAATTATTACACAGCTCAAGATTTTGTTTCTTTCATTTCTATGAGATATTTCACTCCATCTAGATCTGACTACATTTATAAGTAAAATGTTGTTCAATTCAACCAATCAGATTCTTTGTTTAAATTTTGTTTATTGTTTTTCTGTGAGATACTTCACTCCATCTAGATCTTACTACATTTATAAGTAAAATGTTGTTCAATTCAACCAATCAGATTCTTTGTTCAAAAAGAGCTTTATATACCATTTGTGAGGTATTATGGGATTTCATTTTAAAACGCTGATTTGTTTCGTTTGACTAAGTTTTCTAATATTCTGATTGGTTGATATTATTAGCTCCAGTCAGCTGATTGGTCAAAGACATTTTCAATCCGTTTTTTGACCAATCAGCTTACATCATTTCTTAAAAGTTTGTCAGTTTGAAATAAGGAACATGTCAGATCTAGATGTGTGAAGTAACTCATAGAAAAAACATTAAACAAAATTCAGGGTTTTATCGTGCTTGTTCAAATCATTTTCCAATTAATTCCTTAAATCCAGAAAATTTTCAAAGATCCACAATTCCCAGTCAGAATTCCATAATATAAGATTCCTGATTCCCTATAAAAGTTCCAATAATCCAGCAGAGAAGGACAGAATTCTTATGATTCCATGAAAGATTCTGAGAATTTGCAGGATTGAAGGTATACACGATATTCCAAATGAGAATACTGAAAATCCACCATTTTTTTTTTTTGAATCTCTAAAATTCCAAAAATTGTTTTTTTTACAATTAGCAAAAACACCCCTAAAAGTAAATGAACAGTTTTGAACACACTTAACAGTAAATTTATGAGTAGAATAGTTCAATATAATCCCAGGGGGTGTCAAATAGAATTAACTGTTAATCCATTGTTGAATATGATGCAGAAATCTATAATTCACCCCTTGCGAGTAATGAAATTCTCCAATTAGATGAAATCCTACTGATATTTGGAAAAGTTCAAAATAGTTTTAGGGGTGTTAAAGTCCTTTAACTATTAATCCACTGTTGAATATGTAGCAAGTAACTAAAATTCACCCCTAACTATAGAAATGAGATGTCCCAATTACATGAAGCTATCAGTATTAAGGTGTTCACATCGAATTCAAAATGGCTGCAGTAAACCAGTGAACAGTACACAAATGAACTGTAAGTGGCCAATTTAACACTGACAATAGGTCAAAGGTGAACTTTGGTCAAAAATTGCTAGCAATGGTGAGTTACACCAATATTAAAGGGATTGTGAAGAGATTTTCTAAATTTTTTATGTGTATCAG